TACGCCAGAGCTGCCAAGACTTTCACTGTCACGAGTAGGCTTGAGCGTACCAGCGCCGCTGCCGCTGGCAACTACGGTCACCAGGTCTTCGGCACGTTCGGCACCCACATGGAGTACTTCAGAAGGAGTTTGGCCGCCGTCTTGAGCGGCGGGGGCCGTGGCTTATGCAAGACCACCCTCATGGCCATCAAGGAGCCGCTGCAGGATCCAGGCATCAAGCTTCCTCACGAGTGCTTGGAATTCTGGCTGAAGCAGTGGTTCACCACCCCAGGCATTCGAGGCGGCGTTCATCGTGCATGGCAGTCGGTGGTCAGTCGCCTTCGCTCGGTCCCAGCAGGCCGGCGCTCCAGGCACGTTCGCGGTCCCATGTCTGCGGTGATCGTGTACCTGCTGGAGCGGCAGTGGGACCCCAAGACGCCCACCTTGTGGGTCATGGCCGACGGCACCGAATGGCGCTTCCCCGAGGAGTGCTACTCGGACGTCATGGCGCTCAATGGGCTCAAGCAGTTTTTCGTGGACTTCGACCGCGCCTCCGAGGCTCTCCTCTGGCAGCAGGCGGAGCGGCATTTCTGCGGAGGCGGCCTCGGCGGCGGCACGGAGCTCACCTCCATGCGGCAGCTGCTCCGCCAGCTGGCGCAGGCTCCGCGCGGGCGCCGCTTGGCGGCAGCTGGCCAAGGCAGCGACGGGCTGATGCAGCGCGTCGGGTCACGGTCGATCCGACTTGCGCTCGCTGCAGGTGCGCGCCAGAGACCCCCTTCCACCGCATCTGGGGCTGCAAGGCCAACTGCGGGGAGGAGGCCTACGAGCAGTCGGATTTCCTCTACCCGCAGGCATGCGCCCAGCATGAGGCCGAGGAGGCCCTGTGGCTGCGTGGGCTGCTGCCAGCGGGGCGCATGCAGGTGCCGCCGCCGCCGATGGACGAGAGCTGGTGGGGCTCTCACGATGACGTGCTGTCGGAGGGGTTCGGCCCAGGCTCAGCCGCTCGCCCCATTCTTCTGTTCGGGGACGCCAGCGGGGGGGCCGACTCTTCCAGCCCGCTGTTCAGACGCGTCGGCGTCGGCTTGGCCCAGTTCGAAGACGAGTCCTCGATGATCCTCTCGAGCACGCTGTCAGGGATCCTGCCAGGGCTCCAGCAGACGGTTCCTCGTGGCGAGTTGTTCATTTTCTTCTGTGCCCTTCGGTGGGCACCCGATTTCCTCATCTACGTTACCGATAACAAAGCAGTCTTTGACGGCTGGCACGCGGCCCGCGATCGCCAGCCACAGGGTGAGAACAGCGATTTGTGGGCTCAGATCGGCGAGATCATGAAGCCTCGCGAGCGGGGCCACGTCGTTGTCCTTTTCACCCACAGCCATATGGAAGCCACAGATATTGTTGCTGGCAAGGCCGAACGCTGGCTCGTGCATGGCAATGTGTTCGCGGACGTCCTGGCATGTTATGGCGCTGATCGCGCCCGCTTGCCCGCCAGCGTCCGTACCCCGATCTTGATTCTCGAACAGGAAGTGTTCTGGATTAGAATGCGAATTCTCCGAGCCTCGCTTGACGCGATGGCCGCCGAGGAAAAGCTTCTGAGTGATGGTTCCCAGGTAGGTAGGTTTAGGCGGCGGGGGGGCAAGGGCCTCCGTGGCCCCGCGGTCGGCGAGAGCACTGGTGAAGGATCAGCCCTCTCCCCTGGCCCCGCGGCCCCCGTCCCTGTACCACCGCCGCCGCCGTCTGCTGACACTGTGTCGATTTTCGAGTCTAGCCACGCCCTGGATGATACGGGCCGCTGGTGCCGACGGTGCCGTGGGTCCGCGTCTGTCTCGCTAGCTAGATCTTGGAGAGGCTCCCAGTGTGTTCGCCTAGTGTCTATTGATGGCTCCCTTAGAGGACTCCAAGCTGGGGCGAGGTTGCACATCGCTGGGGGGTGGGCCCACCCCTCCCACATGTTGCGCTTCCACCAGGACATAGGGGTCTGGTTCTGCGCCACCTGTGGGATGTACGGGGACCGACAATTGTTAGGTTTGGGTAAGTTGTGCCCCAAGGTGGTGTCCGATACCCGTGCCGAGTATCTTTCCCGAATCGAGCGGGGTTTATTCCCCAAGGCTTACAGTAAAGCTGAGCTCGTGAGGAAGACTGGGGCCCATAAGGGGCCTTAGTGGCGGGGGGGTTTGACCCCGCTCTCCTATTCATCTGGACTTCGTCCTGGCACTCCCGACTCCCGACTCTTCCTCTTCCTCTTCCTCCTACACCTCCTTCTCCCGCTCCCCTCGCGCGCGATCGGGGGTGGGGGAGTGGGGGGGGCGAGGGGGGCGCAGGCCGGAGGAGGGGGAGGGGGAGGGACGGAGGGATGGAGGAAGGGGGAGGGAGGGATGCGATGGGAGGGAACGCCTGGGAACGTTTTTGGGGGCCAGCCCCGAAGACCCGAGGCTACACCAAACGACGGCGCACCACCCCGAGACAGAGTCGAGGCCCTGCTCGACACGACGCACCGCGGGTACAACCTGTCCTGCATCCATCCGACGGGCACTCCCCCGATCACACTCCAGCGCACGCCCACCGCTGGAAAGGAGAGGGGGGAAGGATGAGAGGACGGAAAGGAGAAACACCTCCAGAGGCCGCCAGCTTCAAACATCTGAAGACACCTCATAATTTTCGAAAACCCATCCTCGTGCCCTCCTCCTCCTACTCCACCTCTTCCACCTTTTCCTCCGTTTCCTCCTTTTCCTCCTCCTCCTCCTCCTCCTCCTCCTCCGCCTCCTCCTCCTCCTCCACCTCCTCTTCATATTCGCCTCCATCCTGATCATCATCAACGATGATGGTCGATTATCCTCCTCCTCCTCCTCCTCCTCCTCCTCCTCCTCCTCCTCCTCATCATCATCATCATCATCATCATCATCATCATCATCATCATCATCATCATCACCACCACCATCATCATCATCAGCAGCAGCAGCAGCAGCATCAGCATCATCATCATCATCATTATCATCAGCATCATCATCATCAACATCATCATCACCATCATCATCACCATCATCATAATCATCCTCATCATCATCATCATCCTCATCCTCATCATCATCATCATCATCATCATCATCATCATCATCATCATCATCATCATCATCATCTGCAGCATCATCTGCAGCATCTGCAGCATCAGCATCATCATCACCATCATCATCATCATCATCAGCAGCAGCATCATCATAGTCATAAGCATCACCACCACCACCACAACCACCATCATCATCATCATCATCATCATCATCATCATCCTCATCATCAGTATCAGCATCATCATCAACAACATCAGAATCATCATCATCGCCACCACCAGCATCATCATGATCACCAGCATCATCATCATCAGAATCATCATCATCATCATTATCATCATCATAAGCATCATCAGCAGCATATGCAACGTCATCAGCATCATCCGCATCCGCATCATCATCATCATCAGCAGCAGCAGCAGCAGCATCAGCATCAGCAGCAGCAGCAGAATCCTCATCATCATCATCATCCTCGTCCTCCTCAGCATCAGCGCGATCAGCATCATCATCATCATCATCATCATCATCATCCTCACCATCGTCATCGTCATCATCACGATCATCATCACCAGCATCATCATCATCATCATCATCATCATCATCAGCATTATCATTATCAGCATCATCAGCATCATCATCATAAGCATCATCATCATCATCAGCAGCAGCATAATCCTTATCCTCATCCTGATCTTCATCCCCATCATCACGATCATCGTCATCATCATCATCATCATCAGGATCATCATCATGATCAGCATCATCATCATCATCATCATCATGTTCAGCATCATCGTCATCATCAGCAGCAGCAGCAACATCATCAGCATCAGCATCATCATCATAATCAACATCAATCCGCATCAACATACGCAACATAATCGTCGTCCTCGCCATCCTTAGTTTCACAAGCACCACAATCACCATCACCAATAGCATCGTCAACAAAAACAAAAAAACAGCATAAGCAACAACATCATCAAAATCGTCATCATCATCACCATCATCATTGTCATCGTCAGCGTCATCGTCATCAGCATCAGCATCACCATCATCATCAGCAGCAGCATAATCACCATCATCGTCATTACCAGCATCATCATCATCATCATCATCATCATCATCATCATCATCGTCATCGTCATCATCATCAGCATTATCAGCATCATCATCATCGTAAGCATCGTCAATCATAATCACCATCATCATCATTATCAGCATCATTAACATCATCATCAGTATCATCATCATCATCATCATCATCATCATCATCATCATCATCATCATCGTCATCTTCATCATCATCATCATCGTCAACATTATCAGCATCAGCATCATCATCATCAGCATCAGCATCAGCATCGTCATAGCATCTTCACAGCCATCATCATGGTCATCATCTGCATCATCAGCGTCATCATCATCATCATCATCCCAATCCTCATCCTCACAATCACAACCAAAACCATTATTACTATCATCATCCCCCTGCGCCCCCCACCCCCCTCCTCCCGACAAGGGCGGGATCGCTCCTCCTTCTCTGCATCCTCCCCCCGCCTTGTCGGTCGTTTCCTAGGTAGGCCCCCACCGATCTTCTGAATTAAAAAAAAAAAAAAAAAAAAAAAAAAAAAAAAACTCAGAGGAAACTCAGCCTCCCAAGGCATCCAAAAACCTCCGAAAGACCCCCAAAGCCACAGAAAACCCACGGGGACCTCCGGCATCATCTGGGAAAAAACACTCCTCGCCTTCGCCCGCCTCAACCTCCTCCTCCTCCTCCTCCTCCTCCTCCTCCTCCTCCCCCTCCTCCTCCTCCTCCTTCTCACCCTCCTCCTCCTCCTCCCTCCTCCACCACCCCAGTCTCTCCTTCTCCTACTCCTCCTTCGAAAACATCCGCCAACGACGACGACGCCGACGACGACGCCGCCGCCGCCGACGCCGACGACGACGAGGCCAGGTCGCCTCGCCGTCAGCGGGCCGGCTCTGCCGCGCGGGCCCTGGGCACGCTGCGGCGAGGGAGGCGGCCGGCCGGTGGCGGCCCCGGGCGGCCCACAATACCGGTCGGAAAGGAGGAGGAGAAGGAGGAGGAGGTTCTAGCAGGAGGAGGAGGAGGAGGAGGACCAGTGTCAACCCAAGACGCATCAACGATGTCGCAATCGACCGCCACTCAAAGTTCTCGCTTCGTAGGTCCCTACAGCAACTTGTTGTCATTACGGAAGGTCCCCCATTGCAAGACACCCGTCCGAGAACCCTCTATCGTACCAAAACACCACGCCTGGGACTGCGTGACAGCTGCGTACTGACAGTCTTAAACCGTGGAAGAACACCACTCCTGGGACTTCAACCATGCGAATCTTTGAAACTGTTACACATACTTAAAACAGCACCCCCCCATCCTTGCAGCTGCTGCAAGGTTTAACACGACTGTGCGCGGCTCTACGGAGAGAGCCACATGTTGAAAACCACGCACCCGCCATGTTTGAAACTCTTGCATGATTCAAGACGAATGCGCGGGGCGCCCATGAGAACCACATGATACAAATATGTATACAAAAATAATATTCTAGATTCCGAACGAGAATAGTTGGTATCTAACATAATCGTATAACATACAGATACAGAAATAAAAAAATCATCAAACGCCCTCCATCCCAGAACTTGCTGGAAACTGTAAAACGGATATGCACGGCGCCAAGGTGAGAGAAACGTTTCGAAAACAACCCGCCCTCCATCCTTGAAGCTGCGGCTCACGTTGAAGACGAATGCACGCGGCACGAATGCGACATATACATTTTGAGAGGGACCCACCCCCCATCCTTGAAACTGCTGCACATGTCAGGCTTCAGGATCATAAATAATGGGGAAACCTCGAGCGAAACTCCCAGCCCACACTACCGAGACGTCTGGGAGCGCGACAGGGAGGAATCAGTGATAAGGAAAAGGGGTGGAAGGGAGGAGGGAGGAGGAGGAGGAGGAGGAGGAGGAGGGGGAGGAGGAGGAGGAAGAGGAGGAGGAGGAGGAGGAAGAGGAGACTCGAGGAGGAGGAGGAGGAGGAGGAGGAAGAGGAGGGGGAGACGGAGGGAGGAAGAGCAGGAGGAGGAAGGAAGTTCGAAGAGAGGGAGGCTCCAGGAAGTTCGAGGATGAGGGGGGTGACGAGGACCAGTGCAAACCCAAGACTCATCAACGATGTTGGAATAAACCCTCCGTTCAGGCTCCCTCTCCATAGGCCCCTACAAAGATTCACTCCCACTGGGGAACTGCCCCGTCGGGAACGTGCCAAAACACCATTCCCGGGAGTCTAACACCACGAATCAGCCGCACTGTTGCGTTTTGGCGATCCTTGGTCGTGCCAGAGCACCGTTCGTGGGATTTTACCACCGCGAATCAACGTAATTGTTGCGCCCTGACAACCCTGAACCCTTCCAAACGCAATTTCTGGAACGTTAAACAAGAAAATCCGTGATGTTTAACGTATGCGCGCGACGCGAAGGCGAGAGCCACATTTTGAAAAGGCACCGCCCTCGATCCGTTAGGCCCCTGCACATGTTTTACACAAATGCACGCGGAGCTAAGGCGAGAGCCACATTTTGAAAAGGAGCCGCCCTCCTTTCGTGAAACTGCTGCACATGTTTAAGACGAATGTGCGCGGCACTCAACCGACAGCCACATTTTGAAAACCACCCGCCCTCAATCCGTGAAACTCTCGAACTCACTATTTAAAACGAATGTGCCCGTCCCGACCCAAGACGGCCCCGAGATGGTTTCAGGTGCTCTCCGGGCCCTCCAAGGACCCCCCAAGAAGCCAAAATGGCTCCAAAACCTTCGGAAATCAATGATGTTTGCTTTCTAACCTTTTTGCTTTTGGTGGGCTTCCGAGGCCTCAAGATGGCCCCAAGACGGCCCAAGAGAGCCCCAAGAGGGGCCCAAGAGGGCGCCAAGAGGGCCCCAAGAGCGCCCAAGAGCACCCCAAGAGCGCCCCAAGAAGGCCCCAAGAGACAATTGTTGGGCCTCCAAGTGGGGGGACCTGAATTGAAGACCCCGCCCTTTCGAGCGACATGGGCCAAGACGGCCCCAAGAGAGCTCTCAGACCCGCCCAAATGGCCCAAAGGGGGCCCCTAGAGGGCCCCAAGGGGACCTCCAGAGCCCCAAGATCAACGTTGGCATGGACACGCCTCCTCTGGACTGCACCTCGCCACCCGTCGCGCCGGGGCTGGGCTGCCACGGCAACCCCACTGTGGACTTCACTGCTTCGAAACACCACTTGTTTTACAACTGCCTTTACGGCCATGCCATGGAAATCCGACCGTTCCGCGGCCTGACCAGATCATAAGCTCTTCTCGTTGACTTTCGCCATATACCCAGGCACACTTCTGATTCCCATCGAGGTTCCAGCGCGCCTCCCGCCGGTTGCTCTTGTCCTGAGGAACATGGCACATGCCACACGCCCCCGTAACGTCTCATTGAACTTGCGCCCACGACACCGCCCGCGCGCGACCTCGCAATCCATGCCGACGGTGAATACGTCAATCAGCAGTGAAACGCATGACCCCACCCAGAGCATCAGATGGCGATCCTCGGTGAGATCGGTCCTATAGTGGGCGCCCACAGCGCTCTTGACGGTTCTGACTTGAACTTCAATGGCAACAAAAGCTCATCCGATGTCTGCTGTAGCTGCTGAGTCTCCTACCGGGCCGATTGCAACTCCCACGGCTATCGACGCTGCGGATCTCACTGGCTCCGCGACAGCGGCGATGGAAGATTTTCCGTCAAGGTTGATGGTCACCCCCCTGCGCCCGGTGAAAGATGTCATATGTTCCGCGACGTTGGCCGAGTAAATGTCCACTCCTTCATTGGTTGCCACTCCGCCCCGTGCCAACTTTGTCTTTGTGCAGCGCATCACTAGCATTGGGTTTCCTGGTTCTGCTTCTTGACTTCCCCCTTTTGAATTTCGGTCGCACAGGTGCCCCTGCATTGCTGCCGCCCGTCCTCTGCCGGGGCGACTGGCACGTCGCGCGGGCGAGCCCTGCCTCACATTTTGCGCGCCCTTCTCTTGGCCTTACCTCGCGCGCAGCGAGGGCGCCAGTCGCGACGCAGGACATGGCCGCCGTCGCGATCCTCCAGGTCCGTTCTGCTGGGGCGAGGGTCGCACGTCATTCTCTTGACTTTCGGCATCTTCATTTACAGGCACACATTTAACTTCACTCGCGTCGCTTCCACGACGCCCCCGCCACTTTCACCGCTCGCGCGCATTTCATCGGCCCACTGGGGCTCCGGAGTTGAGTTGAGGCGGATCTCACGAAGGAACCCCTGTCTCGAAGAGTCCTTCTCATGCGTGGCCTCATCCACTTGCTGCACCAGCGGCCCCTCTCCTCCGGGGACTCGAGCGGCGAATTGGAATCTCTCGCCACGCTCGCGGGTCGCCGCCCGCCTGCCCGAGGCCTTCTGCCCAGGGCACCCACGCGACCTGCCGCGCGAATCCGGATCCAAGACAGCCTCGTCACCAGCTTCAACCACGTCACGCGACGGCCCCAATACTTTCTTAATGCCGGCAACTTGCGAGGGCATTCTGACTCCATCGCCTGCAGCGTTCTGCCCCGCCTTTACTCGTCGCCCTCGGCCCTTCGCCGCGGCCCCGCGGGCGGCGCTGCAGCGGCGGCCCTGTTTGGAGGCCGCCTGCATCATTGGGGCGCGCGCGCCGACATCCAGTGGCCCGACCGCGCCGCACGCTCCTGAGTCGACGGCAACCGCCACAGTCTCCACGTTAGATTATGGGCTGTCCTTGGGAACTGCGCCCGCTTTCTCCGTCTCGCGCGGCATCCCCACCAATCCGAGACAACGCGCGCAAACGCTATCAATGCAACCAAGGGCCTCGCAGCGGCCGCAATTCTGGCACGCCGCCCCTTGGGATTTCAATCGTTGCCTCACTTCACGTGCCAGTTGCTTCTTTGATCTGGCCGGCGCTTCCCAGCGCGCCCCAGGTGGATCAGCGCATGATGGCGAAGCACCCAGAGCCCATTCCCAGCTGAGGCTGCCCAAGAATGCATTACCCGTGTTCGCTGCTGCCTTGCCCAACCACGCTGGACACCTGAACGCAGTTGGCCGCCAAGGGACCCTCCTGCACGCACTTGCAGCACTCGCGCTCGCTCAAAGTCGCCCACCCCACGCCCGTCCCGATTGCTCGCCAGCTCCATTAAAATTACCGCAGTTGCCCATGTAGTAGCCCCTGTTGTCAGCAAGGGCATCCTTTGCCTTTGCCGCTGCCATCGCATTAACACGCGGCTCTGCAGCCCCTGGCCACGCGGCCCTGCGCGCCGCACTTATAGCATATAACCCTTCCTTCACCTTTACCCCCATCGACTGCGCCCACGTCTCCTGCACCCCAACCGCTGTCGCCATTCCATCTAGATCGCCACCGTCGCCCATAGACCGCCAACTGCATTCCACATCAGATCAACCGCGGCAACTTCCCCGGCAGGCCCCTCGATCAAGGCGCCCCCCACCTTTCCCGCCCCCCCCCTCCCCCCGACGCCCATCGCATCGCTGCCCTGCGCATCGGCGCCCAGCCGCCGTCTCCGAGCCCGGTCTTCGCGCAGCACATAACGCTTCCGATATAATCCATTGGTTAGGGGACGGGGCGACATAAACAATGCCAGTCATCAACCCACCCCCCGGCGTGGGTCTTCATGGTTTGCACAGAAATTATCTTGAATGGCAAGGGCGACTCACACGACTCACAATATACTTCGAGCTTTTCCTCCAATACACCCCACTCTTCGAGCTGGACGGATGCGTTACCGATCTTCTTCGGTCTGTCGGAGTTCATGGCTTGGCTAAATTCGTCTTAGCCGAGAGCGTCACACCCGTGACAGCAGAGGACCACATGTAGATCTTCAAGTATGTCATCCATCCTTCGCTATATTAAAGGCCGCGCGACTTGCCCCTTGCGTCCAGACTCCAGATTTTCGGCTCCGATGTACCATGGGTCCTCGTCCAGCTTGTGGGTCCCATTTCCGTCCAAAACGTATTCATCGTCGCGCACGTCTTCTTCTCGCTTCTTTTCTGGCGACGCCTTGTTGCAGCTCGATGCTGGCATCCCCCCGCTCAGCATTCGCATTGCGTCACCTTCCTCGCCGACTCTCCAATGTTGAACTGAATAATTTGAAAAATCTGGCGGTTCCCACTGCTGACATGTGCCGGTGCGTTTATCAGTCTGTCGCTCCACTCTCGACATTTCGTCCGATCTCTGCTGGACCTCTTCGAACGTTGGACTGCTTTCAAATAGATTACGGGCCTTTAGTGAGTTCTGCCCCTGCCAGATTCAAACTTTTCAGACGGCCGAGAGAAGATTAGATTGGTGCTCATAATTTTCGCAGCCATCCCTTCCAATTCATCTACTCGCAGACTCTTTCGCGCGGTGTCTGATACATGATTGCTTTCGCGGCTGATGATCTAATATCAACGCTAACATCCTCAACAGTGACATCGCGCGCTTATCGGAATATTCTTGGACACCCGTACGGTCTCGCTATCCAAGGTAATTCGTCAGCACGTCACAATTAGCTTGCTGACCAATGTCAACAAACTCGTGGTCACCTTGATTGTACACGATAATACAATGAAGTCCGAAGGTGGCACGATTGTCCTCTATCCATTCGTGCCGTGGGGTAGGTATCGCTGTACCGGCTATCGTTGCCATAACCTCGCTCCGCTACAACGCAAAGTTAACAGACCGTTCGTGGTGAAGGTGGGGCTTCTGTTTGCAGTAGGCGGTCAACGCTTTAATACAAAGGTGTGTCCGACCTCCTTTTCCTCATCCTCCTCCTCCTCCTCCTCCTCCTCCCCCCCCCTCGTTGTCCCGCATTCCTCCCGTTCCTTCTCCATCATCATCCCCCTACCTCGTCGTTTCTCCACGAAGAAGACACCACCAGCGGCGACGCCGACGACGGCAGCGGCAGCGGCGGCGGCGGCGTCGGTCACCAGACCCACCCCTGGATATCGTCCTGGGATATCCTTTGGTTTTCCGGTTCGATCGAAATACGGTCCGGCTCCGGAGCTCTCCAGCACACCAGCGATTTCGCAGCAGCAGCAGCAATCACCTGTCTGCAACAGCCAGGGCGCCGAGATCGAACACACAAGCAATCGAAGCATCACTGCAGCGACCTTGCAGACGTGCTGCAGCGGATTTTCTGCGTGGATTTCTGCCAATGCAAAACCCCGAAACGGCGAGTGAAAAACGAAATGAATTTCGCGATTTTTTGGGTCGTCATTCCTGGCCAAAAAAAAAATCCGCGCGAAATTCACCTCGAAATCCGGAACACGATTCTCCGGGACAAGCCGGGGGCCCATCCCACCTTCTCCCGAGCGACATCCGCTCTGCGGCGTTGGCGCCGTGGGCAAAGTCAGCTCAAAATCGGCCCCCGAAACCCCTCCCGAGATCCAGGAGCACCAGCTCTCAGAGCCGTGCCCCGCCGCGGCGACGAGGGCCCCTCCCGGAGGCCAGCTGCGCTTCGCGTCAGCTCGCCCTCCTCCGGAGCAGCTGGCCAGGGAGGCCAACGACGACACAAAAAAAAACCTCGGACCTCGAAGCCCGCTCGCGATCGGCGGCGGCGAGGACGGCGGCGATGCCCAGGTGCCCGAAGCGAGACAGAGGCACGAATTGGCGCCGCATCGTCCTCATCGGGAGAGCTCGAACAGCTTCTGGCGGCTCTCCAGCAATAGAGAAAGGACGAACTGCCTCCGCGGATCTCGAAGCAGGACTCGACCTGCACGATGTTCTGGCGGTTTCGTGGACCGTCTTCGTGTTGACCTCGTTCTGCAGCGAGGGCGGAACGAAGGCAACACTGTTTAGGTCGAGCCCTGCCTCGAATAGAGGCCTCCTAGATGGGGTCCGAGTAGATGGGGTCGGAGGATCGCGCCGCATCGCCGATGCATCGCCGATGCGTCGGCGATGCGTCGCCAATGCGTCGGCGGTGCGTCGGCGACGCGTCGGAGACGTTGGCGACGCACTGGCGCCGTCGGCGTGGTCACATCGAGCCGCATCGCCGATGCATCGGCGATGCGGCGCCATCCTTAGGTCGGGCATGTCCTCCTACAGGCGAAGTCTGGAAGTATAATAAAAAGCAGCCAACACATATCCAAGATGGTCGAAAGCGCACAACACATGGTCACCAGTCTCCCTTTCCGCTGTTCTTAAACCTTCCTCCTCTAGACGAACATGCACGACTTGACGCCATCCTCAGACCCCCCCCCGCGAGGATGAGGACGATGATGATGATGATGATGATGATGATGATGATGATGATGATGATGATGATGATGATGATGATGATGATGATGATGATGATGATGATGATGATGATGATGATGATGATGATGATGATGATGATGATGATGATGATGATGATGATGATGATGATGATGATGATGATGATGATGATGATGATGATGATGATGATGATGATGATGATGATGATGATGATGATGATGATGATGATGATGATGGGGGAGGAGGGGGAGGAGGAGGAGGAGAGGAGGAGGGAGGAGGAGGAGGAGGAGGAGGAGGAGGAGGAGGAGGAGGAGGAGGAGGAGGAGGAGGAGGAGGAGGAGGAGGAGGAGGAGGAGGAGGAGGAGGAGGAGGAGGGGGAGGAGGGAGGAGGAGGAGGAGGAGGAGGAGGAGGGAGGAGGAGGAGGAGGAGGAGGAGGAGGAGGAGGAGGAGGGAGGAGGAGGAGGAGGAGGAGGAGGAGGAGGAGGCGGAGGAGGAGGAGGAGGAGGGAGCCTGCGGTGGCGGAAGTGGTATCGAAATGCGCCACCCGCATGGCTCCCGCCCGCAGTGGACGGATTCCGTCCGCTCTGGATCTGTGCCCAGGCGGCCCTGCCTCGAAGCCCGACGGCGGTACGGCGGCCATCGACGGCGATCGGCGGGCGGGCAACGGGCAGCGCTCCCGCGAGCGCCTGGCTCGCCCGAGCGCGGGCCGCGGGCCGGCGGGGCCCCCGCTCCGTGGCGCGCGCCGTGCGGAGCTCCTCCTGCGGCGGCGGGGGGGGGGGCAGCAGCACGCTGGGCGCTGCCCCTGCAGGCGAAGGGAAGGGCTCCTCTCGCCCATTCCCCCGGTCCCCCCCCTCCCCCCCCTGGTCCCCTTCCCCGTCGTCTCCCCCCTCCTCCTGCGCTTCCCTGCCCTCCCCCTCCACTTCCCCCACGCCCCTGCCCCTGCCCCTGCCCCTTCCCCTTCCCCTCCTCTGCCCTTCCCCTCTCCGCAACTGCGGGGGCTATACCGTTTCTCTGTCATCCTCCTCATGCTCCTCTTCCCTTCCCCTCCCAACCCCTCTTACCTCCCCCTTCCCCCGGCCCCTCCCGCCCCTTCCTGTCCCCATCCCCCTCCCCTCACCCATCCCCCTCTCCATCCCCATCCCCTCTCCCTCACCCCCTGCAGGTTGGGTTTCTGAAACACTGGCTGAGACTCAGCAGGCGAAGGGTGCCTGCAGCCAAAGGGTGTCCCAGTCCCACAGCGCCGAGTGGACCCGAGATGGTAAAGTCCGTAAATGACCGCGGGGGGAGGGGCTCATACTCGGTTCCCCACATTTCTCCTCCTCCTCCTCCTCCTTCTCCTCCTGCCGCCTCCCACGTCCCCCACTCCTCTCCTGCCGTTCCCCTTCCATGCCCTCTCATGCGTTCCCTTGCCCTCCCTCTCCTCCTCCCCCTCCTTTTCCTATTTCTCCTTCTGCTCTTCCTGATAGTTATCCCCCATCCTCATCTTCCTCGTCTTCCTCCTCCCTCAACCCTCCTCCCTCCCTCATTCCGCCTCCCCCTCCGTTCTGAACATCATCTGCCTCCTCCGCCCCTCCCTCTCTCCCCTCATCCTCCTCACCCTCCTCCTCCTCCTCCTCATCATCATCATCATCCTCATCATCATCATCATCATCCTCATCCCTCCTTCTCTCCTCCCCGCCCTCCACCCTTCCCTCCCTCCCTCTCCGCCGTCCTCCCGCCCCTCGCCCGCCCCCCCCCCCCCCCCAAGGCATGGGGGAGGGGGAGGGGGGGGAGGGGGAGTCAGGGAGGCTGCTCCGAGGGCTTCTGGGGGTGTGAAGCACGTCCTGGAGAGGGGGTTCTCGGAGGTCCTGGCGGGAGGAGGGCGGAGAGGAGGAAAGGGACGCCGAGAGGCGAGGGAAGAGTGAGCGGGCGGCACGCCTTTTGTCCAATCGCCAAGCTCGAATCTAGCCTCATAGTCGGCAGGCCGGTCAGCAGTGCTCTACACCGCCGGTAAACACACCGCAATGGCAACATAGTATGCCTACCCATGTGCGGAGGAGGAGAAGGAGGGAGGGGAGGAAGTGGAGGGGTGGGGTGGATGAGAGGGTTAGGAGTGATGGGAGAAAGGTCGGAAGCTTGGGAGGAAGAGGGGGACAGGAGGGATAGGAGGGGCGGGAAGGTGGGGGGAGGGAGGGACGGGAGGGAGGGTTTGAGGGATGTTTGGAGGGATGGGGAGAGGGAGGGAAGGAGGCATGGGAGGGATGGCGAGGAAGGGAGAGCGGGTGGTGGAGAGGGAGAGGTGGAGAGGGTTGGATTGGGTACAGGAAAACAAGTTCGGAAGTGGGAGGCTGGGAGGAATGGGAAGCTAGCTTGGAGTTGGAGCCGGCTCCCTCCTCTCTCCTCCTTGACCCCCCCTCTCCATGTCCTCTGCCCCCCTGCAGAGAAACAGGCAGCGACATAAGCATGTAGTCACGGAGGTCCGCGCGGAGTTCTTGGGTCGGCGCTGGACCCCCTTCCCCAGGCGCGCTTCGCTAGCGGCGCCCCCCTCCTGCGGCACCGGAGGCGCACAGGGGGGGCGGGGAGGGAGCCGCGGGGCAGCGGCGACCCGAGAGATCTGAATGGACCTCCGAAAGTTCATGGTTGTGCCGAAACCTGTTCTTCGAGCTCCTCCTCCTCCTCCTCCTCCTCCTCCTCCTCCTCCTCCTCCTCCTCCTCCTCCTCCTCCTCCTCCCAGTGTGATGGCAGAGGTGGCAGCATTTGAGGGGGGGTGCTGCTGAGAGCACTTGCCCCTGCTGTGGGAAGGGGGAGTAATACACGCGCCTGCGGAGCTCGAGCGGCCTGCAGAGAGTGGCGATGGGTGCGGGGCCCTGCGGGGGCGGTGAGGTGGGCCAGGCAGGCCTAAGCTGCATCGAATCGCGAAATCGGACCGGATTGGAAACGAATTGGGTCGCCAGCGAAGTGTCCCCCATCGAATCGGATCGAAGTCGGATCGCCGCGCTGGACTCTGGCTGGCCCCTGGCTGGCTAAAACCAAATCGAACCGAGTCGGAATGGCGGCCCAGGCCGACGAATCGAATCGCATCGAGTCGGATATCGTAGGCGGCCCTGCCAGGCGGCCGGTGCGTAGAGTCGCCAGGGGGTGGAGGTGAGTGCAACTGGACCCCAGAAGGCGTGGCGGGTGGCTTGGACAGCGCGCCGGATGGTCTCGCCAGAGGCTGCCACCGATGATGCCTAAGGATTCTGGAGCGTGGGGGTCTGGGAGGGCCTCGACGTACACACCAAGTCGCCTGGTCGGCCACGGAACTCGGTGTACAGCGAGTCTCTATACACCGAGTTCCTTCTCCGAAATCCGCCGACCCCTTGGGATCTACGGCGTGCTGCCCCTCCTCAAACCCCTGCCCAGGGGGGGGCAATTTGGAGGGGAGGGGGTCTGTGCGAAATGGGCCGGCGGACCCTGCGGCCCCGGCAGTCTCAGAAATGCTCATGGGCGGCCTCCGACGGTTTCGACATGGCTCCCATGGGTTCCTAGACGATCCCACATGGCATCCAATCGTCCTGTGATGGCTTTAAGACAACCCACGAAGCCTCCAAGACGCCTCCAAGGTCCCCATGAGTGCCCCAACAAGCCCAAGTTCGCCCGTTCCCCATGGGAAAACTTACATGTTTGGCAAACTGCCTTGAAGGCCCAGACCAGCGATCAGAGACAGGACCAGAGGCCTCAAGGAGGGCCCTACGACGGCTACAGGCGGCCCCGGGACGGCCCAAGAGACGGCCAGGACAGTCCAAGAGATCCCCGAGACGCTCTAAGGACCACTCAAGATGAGCCCGTGACGGCCCAGCACGGGCCCTACCCAGCCCACCCAAGATGGCCCCAATACGACACGCCAGGCGCCGCAGACGGCCCAGGAGGGCCCCCAGAGGACCCGTAGACGCCCCAGGATGACCCCCAAAGGACTCCACACAGGGGCCCCAGCAGGCCAAAAGTCGTCAATTCCCCATAGGAAGACTCACATGTTTGGCGAATTCCCATCGCTCACCCTCCGGATCTTTGCCTCCGGCTCCTGTCCACGGCGTAACCCGGAGAAGCAATTAAGGAACCCCCCGGCGTTATCATTAGCACCGCGCCGTAATTAAATAATTATTTGGGGGGGTTTTCGCCGAGCGATATTATTAGCACCGCGCAAATGGAAGGAAAATAAATAATTCCAGCGCCCCGCCTCGGGTGGCATCCCAATTAGAATTGTAATGAGAATAAGAATACGAATACGAATAAGGAAAAGCTGAGAAAAGCTAAGGAAAAGCTTAGAAGCCCCTCCCCTGCGACACCCGTGGGACCTGTGGGACCTCACACGGGAACCACTTTGAAACTTGTGGGACCTGCGAGACCTGCGGGACTCCGTGGGACCCGTGCGATCTGGTGTACCCCCTCCTGGTGCCAGGATAACGCTTCCGGGTGCCGGGTGCGTTATCCTTTCACCGGAGAGGGGGGGGGGGGTCCTTAATCGCTTACTCGGGTTACCTTTTCCTGTGCAAGCTCCTCGGCACCGCCTGCACCCCGGGCCCCGCCCTCTCCGGCCGCCTGAGGCCCCGCCCGCCTGTGCCCTCTCCCCCCAATTAGAGCTGTGCGTAGCCCGCCTAGCTTTTAGCGGAAGAGGTTCGCTCTCGCCCCGCCGACCAAAAATTTGGCAAGTTCCTTCAGAGGCCCTGACCAGCGACCCGAGACAGGTCAAGGGACCTCGCATGTGGCCCCACGACGGCTCCCCGTGGCCCATGGCCAGCCCAAGAGACGCCCAAGATGGCACAAGTCGCGGAGCGGAGCGGAAACCCGAATGCAACGTATCCGACGTAAGAACTGCAACATCTTGCATAAGTTTGCATGTCTGTGTCTCCCCCACAAGCCCCCCCAAGCGCTACGCCACATTCGTCCCAAGATGCCCCCCCCTTTTTCTGGAGCCTGGAAATTTCCAGGACCCACGGAAAATCAATGATCTCGGCCGCTTGGGCCTCTTGGGGGCTCAAGTGGGCCTCCAGACCGCTCAAGACGGCCTCAAGAGGGTTCGAGATGACCCTCAGCAAGCGCAGGATGGCCCCAAGAGGGCCCAAGGGCCCCTAAGACGGCCACGGAGGGCCCCAAAGGGGGCTCCAAGAGCACCTCCTGTGACCAGACTCGTGCCCTTCCTCTTGGTTTTGACAAAATGTTAGCGTTCTCTCGCCTTTTCGGACTCTCGGGGGCCCTGACGGCCCAAGCAGCCTCCAAGATGGCCCCAAGACGGCCCAAGAAGCCCCCAAGAGGGCCCCAATGTCGCCCAAAGAGGCCGCCAAGAGGGTCCAAGGGGCCCCCAACACGGCCGAAGAGAACCCTGCGAAAGGCCCAAAGTGGCCCCGAGAGGCCCCCTAAGACGGCCTCCGAAGGGGCCAGACGGCGCAAGAGCGGCCCTAGATGGATCAAGACACCCTCAATAGGCCCCAAGAAGCCCCGAAAAGCCTCCCAGAGGCCTCCCAGAAGCCCCTAGTGGGGCTACCAGGAAGCCTTCAAACGACTGGACGGCACAACTAGTGCAGAACGACCAAAAATGGTGAGCCTGTTCTGGGGCTCTAAAACCTGCCAAACATACGGAAAATGTATGAATTGGGCCGTTTGGCCTCTTGGGGGTTCAACAGGGCCTCAAGACGGCGCAAGATGGCCTCAAGACGGGCCAAGAGGGCCCGAAGACGGCCCAAGATGGCCCCGCCCCAGAGGCCCCCAAGACGGCACAAGATGGCCCATAAGGGACTCCCAA